TTATAAGCAATAGAAACAAACTAAGACACCCACCCTACCAACTCTTCTCTTCATTACATAATTCGGGTGGAAATTAAAAAAAAAGAGAATATACTGTAGCTGCTCTCATATTTCCACCTCATTTCCATATTACCCTACACAGCTTGGCGGAGTCTCAGCAACACTTAGTCATGATCTAATCCTGTGTGAGTTCAACACCCAACTATGAAATTAAGGCAATTTTCAAAGTTCTCACATTTTTCGGACTGCTGCAGAATCTAAAAAATAGATCCTAACTTTCTGCCTTGGTTAGATTTGCATATATGTGGCCAATAGCTATGTGTCTGCAGTAAAAGTCTCAGTAGAAAGATCTGTAATGGGTTTGCCACCATATATCGGAACAACATAGCCTAGGTCAGGACTCAAATCTCAACGTTCTCTGTATTATCACCGTATAATTTCCCCTGTTGAGTCATATGTTTCAAAATGTCAGACCAGAGTTGATGGTAGTAGCTATCAAACATGCATTCATGTTAAAGCAAACATTTCCGACTACACTAAAATTGCATCACAAATGACATTCTGCTGTCATTCAAGATCTACCAAATTTGCGGGACAGGGAATTAATTTAATTTTATTGAGTTTTTCCTATGAATCTAGATGTACCGGCACTTTCCTCACAATAATTGTGCAAAGTAGAAATTTTTCTAGATAATAAACTAAGTTCCAACAAGGTTAAGTAGGTTGACCCACTTTATGCAGTCAGAAATATTTAAGAACGAGCTGTGTGGCCCCAAAGTCAGTACTTATTCCATTACTTTGTGCTGGCACTCAATATTCTATTTAGGAAGAGTGTGATTGCAAAGTTTGATTTAAAGTTATGTTTAGAGCAATATGTTGTCAAATATATTACCAGTAGTTCATGTATGAACTATATCCAAAGTCCCTATGAATGGTATGTAATACATTGAAAAGTATTCAGGTTAAAATGAAGTAAAGCCAGTCTAAATCACACCATGTCATTCTCTGGCTTGGAACATGGTTTGTATTTGTTTAGAGAAACCCTATCCTGGTACAAATCTCTAGCATCACATCCCCAGAATAAGGTCTCCCTGCTTTTGCCTTTGCTCCTGGGACCATTCCCAGAGCAACAGCTAGAGTGAGGCTGTTGAGACTTAAAATCATACTATATGCACAATCCTGCACAATCCTTTCCATCTCGGAATAAATGCCAAAGTCCTGATCTCTTCCACACTCTTGCTCTTACGCACTCTCTCCTTGCTGTCCCCAACATGCCATGCCTCAAGACCTTTGCATTTTCTGTTCCCTTTGCCTGGAATACTTTTCCTTGAGATACCTCTACAGTTCACTCCCATCATCTCCTTCAGGTCGCTACACAAATGTCACCTTATCCCAGAGGCCTTCCCTGACGACTGAAAATTGCATCCCACACTCTGATGCTCCTTAGCTCTTCCCTACTTGATTTTT